GAACGAAATGGTAAATCGTCATTCATTAACCATAGAAAGTTTTTGATCTTTCCTTCATTTTTTTTTTTACATCAGAAGATTCTTGATCGTGCATGAAGGATGGTTTTGAACTTTCATGATTTGATTTTTAGAGTAAGTATATAAAGAAAATCTTTTTTTTATGCTAGTTTCTTGTATCAACTGATCATTAATTTATATCCTATAGTTTGTTTTTAAGGTAAAAATATCCAATTTTGTAAGTGTGGTATTTAATATGTGTTAGCCAATGACTGAAAATATTACACAATCCACATTTTAGCTAGCTAGTCCCAAAAAGTATCATTTAAACAGTTCTCTACTTTAACTTAGTAAGGATATATATATATATGTACGTACACATATATTTTGATATCATCTTAACAGTCTTCGTCGTACTTTGTTTTTATCCTTTACATTCCTTAGAATAAATTTTTATACCAGCGCATAAATCATGTCATATTTTCTAGTGCAATATATATTGTAATCGTTTTAGGAAAATATTAGCATCAATCATATAATATCATTGAAAAGTATCCATTTAAACAATTTCATACTTTTTAAGTTTAATATATTTGGGATGTATGTAATCATCCGAACAATCAAATTTTCTTTTCACTTTTCAAAATGGTACATATATATATTTGAAGTGGCCCTTTAAAACGTAAAAAGATAATTAGACAAGGTCTTTAATCAATATGAAGCATCCATGATACACAACATTCTTATTGAACTTGCAAATATAAAATGGAAAGTGACTCGTTGACATTCGCAAAACGTTCTTGCACGTCTCACACTAGTATCGTGTAGACATGCTTCCACGATTTAGTTGACAGAGTTTAGAGAGACAGGGCAAACAGAATCGTAGAGCTGGATTTAGAAAAAACACTTTGCTATAAAACCCCTTGCGCCAATTCTTTACAACACAAACCAAAAAAAAAAAGAAAAACTAACCAACGTAGTAACGCGTTGGTAAAGAATAAACAAAATCTCAATGAGATCTTCTTCAAGGATGGGGCCTTCCACCCATCTCATTTGCGCTCTAGGAGTTATCATCATGGCAACAATGGTTGCTGCCTATGAACCATACACAGATAGTTCTCCACCACCATTGTATTCTTCACCGCTTCCTAAGGTTGAATACAAGACTCCCCCACTACCATATGTCGACAGTTCTCCACCACCCCCATACTACTCGCCTTCCCCTAAGGTAGATTACAAGTCTCCTCCACCACCATATGTCTACAGTTCCCCACCACCACCTTATTACTCTCCTTCTCCAAAGGTTGAGTACAAGTCTCCTCCACCACCATATGTTTACAAATCTCCACCTCCACCATCGTATTCACCTTCTCCAAAATCTGAGTACTAAACTTCTAAACTGAAAACAGTAAATTGGATTTTTAAATAAGCTACCGAATTTTATTTGATTTCTTCTTTCCTTTTGTTCTTGTATCTTTTAACTTTCATTGGGTTTGGATCAATAACTTGTCTACAAAACCTTTGTATGGTTTTATGTTTTTTTTCTTCTATTTGTGTAAAGATTGCTTGCAATCTATATGAAGTCCTTTGCAAATTTGAATTAAATTCTTGACTTTATAGCTTTGGATAAGGATCGCATATTACCTAATTTGCATAGGGAGATTATTATTCTCTTATGTAGTAGGCGTTATCCACAAAATTTAACTCAAGGCAAACACATGATGCTATTTGCAAAACTCCAATGGAACTATAGACAAAAAATAAAATGTAGAAAATAATTAACCGAAACATCAATAATATGTCACGGTTCGTATCGATATAGTAACATTTTCAAACGGTTGCAAGCTTACTGATCAAACTCAAGACGGCTTCATATACGTTAACGGAATTTGTATATTAAGTTCATGATGAATTTTTACATTACGAAATTGCAAGTCGTAATTAAATAACCATGATCTTTGATCAAAAAATAAAAAAATAAATAACCATGATCAAATTTGAAATCTTGACAAAGGACATTAATATAAGATATGAAATATTTTAAAAGTTTGAAAAGGTTTTCGATTGTGACTGACTGCGAAAAGGAGAAGAGAGCGTGAGCAATGAGCCCCGTCCTTGGCCGACCATTTTGCATATAAGACGCCCGACTCTGTCATTGTTGTTGTTGTTGTTTTTTTTTTTTTTTTTGCTAAAGGTTTCTAAATATTATTGTTCCCCTCTAATCCTTCTTACATTATTTATTTAGGAGAGCCTATTAGATTAACTTCAATTATCCATGTTTTATAATTTTCAAGATTTGAAATAGTTGATAACATTTATAACAATTTATGTGCGTAGATTGTAAGAATTTTGGTGTGATATCATAGATTTTGTTTTTAAAAGTTTACTCATAAATTCCAAGAAAATTTCCAGTGATTAATATACAAAGATATTTTAATTTTAATGTTTTATATATTACCAAATAAATGAAGAAGTTTTTGAAATATTAGTTAAATAACACCAAATTTTCAAAATCTCTGAATCATGATTTACAAATGTCATATTTAAGAACACCAGATTTTGGTGTATGTAATTTGAAATAGCGATTAAATAACAACAGATTAATATGTTTCATTTAGCTTTTATAAAATTCATGATCAAATAAACCCTTTTAGGGTGGCAAGAATCGGAAAAAAATTAAAGGATATGATATCTTTTGGTCAAAGACATTTTTTTTTGTCACATACATTACTCATTTATCAATTATCTAAATACATTTTGTTTATCAACCAATACGTGCTAATAAAAAAAAAAAATAGGTATTGCTTAGTTTGGTTCTCTCAAACAAATTAATAAAAAAAAGTTAGATTTTGCTTAGTTTGGTTAACTCAAACAAATTAATAAAACAAAAATGCTTTATTTGTCGGTTCACAATTTCATGAATATATAGAAGGAAATTTTATTTTTGGTTAGGCTTAAAAAGAAGAACATAATGCTCATTTAGCGGGAGACGTTATAAGAGAACAAAAAAATGTTGATTTAGAAGCAATTATTAAGAAACAGAAAGTGGACTTCAAAAGCAAAAACATGCAATTGCAAATGTTTTATTTAAAGAGCAAAAAAAGACATAAAAGAAAGTAAAAGCTTCAAACATAGAAGCCTCAAGCCTCTCACAGGTTTGCCTTGGAAAGATCAATGGTTCAGTGTAAGACTGCTCAAGCTTTGTTAGGGCAAGGACATGGGAGGAGCCTTGGACCGGAGATGATGAAGAAGAGACCAAGACCTAGTAGGCTTCCTCAACCAACGACACCGGAGAAGCAGATCGTTGCTAAAGTCACAGGCGGGTCACCTAATTATATGAAGGGAACGAGGAGTTCAGAGGCTAGGAGACAGAGCCAAAGTGTTCAAGCTGGTTTAGACAAGAAGAGCCAGACCGGTAAGAAACTCGATTCTTGCAATAGAGATAAGAAACAGAGTAGTAGTAGTAGGTCTTTGAAAAAGGGTCTGAGTTTCAAGAGAAGTGGTAGGAGTAGTCATCGTTGGGATGTGAATGCGCATAGAGCAACTTGTTCTTCGTTTCTTAAAAACTCAAAGTTCACAGAGGATATGATGCTTACTTCTCCTGCTGTCTTGAAAGTCTGTCCTTATACGTATTGTTCACTCAACGCGCATCTTCACCGCCAATTCCCACCTCTTCAAAGCTTTATATCCGCAAGGAGACGCTCCTTGAAGTCCCATGCAGGTATAAAGATGAGTGGTGAATGTGCTGATGGTTGTGTGGAAATCTATGTTGATGAGAAGAAAGAAAATAGAAGCACTCGAGAAACTGATATCAAAGTAATCGATGGAGGTGGAATGGGAAGAGGCTGAAGATTTAGATTCTGAAAGTGCAGAGATGGTGAGCTTACTAGAAGGTGAAGGCATTGAATCATGTGGCTATGGTAATGAAAACATCGGTATGATGACTGAAAACTTTGCGATTCTTGAACAATCAGAAAATTCAAGTGAGGATCAAGAACGTGAAGAGGATGGTTTCTCGGATAACACAATCAACACTTTTTTATCTGAACAATTGATTATACAAGATGACATCAATCTAGGGAATGCTCTTGATGAGAAGCTGGACTCCAAGGAAGCTGAAGTTTGGAAGGCAGCAGATGGAGAGAAAGTGAAAGAGCGGATTAAACTTGTATCGGAAACAGAGGAAACTCTGTTATCTCTTGCCCAAAAACCCTGCAACCGAGAAGAGTGCACTGAGGATTGGAAGGGATTCAACCCAAGAGAACCCAATTACATTCAAACCTCCGTAGAGCTGAGCAGCGAAACAGTTGATCTCAAGCATCAGGACATGGATGAGAGGAAGAACGCAGAGGAGTGGATGATTGATTATGCTCTGCAACACACCGTAAGTAAACTTGTTGTAGAAAGGAAGAAGGATGTGGCATTGCTCGTTGAGGCATTTGAAACAACAGTACCTAAATAAACTTCACCAGCTTTCACTTAAGCAAGACACCTTCAAGCTTGCAGTTAACATGCCTTCAAAGCCTTGGAACCAAGTGAGCTTATGAATGATGAACTCTTTTTTTTTTTTTTAGTGAATGGCTTTGAGTCTTTGACTTATGTTTGGGGTATTTGAGACTAATTTGGAAAATGTGACTTAATCAAATGCTGATGAGGTTTGAAACCAAGTTCTATAACTAAGAGACTCTTTTAAATCCAGTTACCTAAGAGAGCATGCGAGTAAATGATTTTCCTCAGTTGTTAAACACAGAAAACAGTTCACTTTAAACATAATAAGCAAATCACAATAGCATTCAAAGAGAACATTTGCTTGAACAAAAGAAACCTAAAGAGTTCAAATTAACTAATGTACACCGGAGGATGTCCAGAAAAGGTCAACACTAGTCAAAGAACTAAGAAAAGGGAAAAGGAAAATGAGTCCAAGACTAAAGAAACACATCATATCACTAAAGAAACACATCATATCACTCCTTGGTGGTTTTGTTGATCAGAGACTTGTGGATGTGAGGAATCACACCTCCTCCAGCAATCGTTCCCTTGATGAGTGTGTCAAGCTCCTCATCTCCTCTGATAGCTAACTGCAGATGCCTCGGAGTTATCCTCTTCACCTTCAGATCCTTGCTAGCATTTCCAGCCAACTCAAGAACTTCAGCAGTTAGGTACTCCAGGATCGATGCCGTGTAAACAGCAGCAGTAGCACCAACTCTGCCGTGTGCGGAAACTCTGGTCTTGAGTTGCCTGTGAATACGACCCACAGGAAACTAAGATCAACAAAGAAACACTATCAGTATAGTAAAATTAAACTGCAAAAAAAAAGACTCAATCTTTCTATTTGTATGGCTATGCACAGCATCAATGTCCTTTAGCAGAGCACACCAAATACATTGCACATACTAGAACCAAAACAAAAGCCATAAAACCTTCAGGACTCATGAATATCAATAGTAAGATTCAGAGTAAGGGAACTTGGGGCACATACCATAAGACACTACTTAAACAATCTGAAGAGTCGTAACATATGACAAAAAACAATATATATTCTCAGATTCCCAAAACCAGCGAGCAAGCAAGACAAATTTGATAAATACCATTTCAATAAAATTCACCCACGCAAGTAGAACATGGTCTCGAGTAAAAGAAATTCCATGTCCAGCAACAAAAACACAAATCTATTCCTGAAGATCTGAATTGTACTGATAAATAACGAAACAATCAAAGAAGGTCGAAATTAGGGTTTGAGAGATGACCTGAATACCAGCACGAGCAGAGCGAGAGATGGGTTTCTTCTTGTCCTTGTCTTTGTCCTTGTTGGCAGCCATCGTCTTCGCAGCTACGAGTCCTTTTCCTCCTTTGCCTGCCATGTCGCTTCAAATTGCTGTTTCCTTCTTCTAGATCTAACCGTACACAGTCAAACAAAACAAAGAAAGTTTCAGAAAGAAAAACAAAGAGTATAAAGAATGCTTAAATCTACCAGATCTATGGTAAAAGAAGACTAAATCGAAGAACAGAATCGAGAATCCAACCAAAATTTCTCGAAAAACACAAACAGATCTCGAATTTTGGAAGAGAGAAAAAAAGTACCTTGAGACGACGACGAGAGAATGCAAAAAAAAAAAAAAGGACGAAAGAAACGAAATCTGGTTGAATTGAATGGGATTAGCGTTTTAAAATTAAAAAGTTTGGTGGGAGTTTTTAAATATTTTTAAAATCTTGGGGGGAAACCTACGCTTTGGCGGTTAAATTTTTCGCTTTGGAGCCTTAAAATATTTCAACATTTTGCCATTAAGCCCTCTATTTCTTAGAAACTTTTAAAATCAGCTTTCATTTTTCTTTTGGGACATATAGATCCACTTTCTTTGAGAAAAGAAAAGTTTTCATAAGGTTGTAGGCACTATGCTTGAAGTAAAACTAAATGGTGCAAGAGATTATTCTATGCTTTGATTGTTAATATTGGAGATTGTTAGACGTACCTTTGTATGATTTCGCTTCGTGATGAATCACTTTCTTCAAGTTTTTGTGATGATTTTGTGGTTGACGTATCTGTTATTTATACTAGCTTCATCATAAATAGTTCAAGATTTTGATTTATCTTTTCTTTTGGTTTTTAGGCAATACAATTGGTATCTGCGACTCAATAAATTCAGTCAGATATCTTTATTTTTTCTTTTGCAAAACTATTTATTGCGCTGTATAAAATTAGTTTTTTAGTGTCAAAATAAAGATATTACTATTATTTTCCTTGGAATTGTAAACTTGACATAAAATATTTAGTCAACAAAATTTACTTTCAACTTTTTATTAATTGTTCAAAAATAATATTGACGCGTGTAAATTTGTTTTAGTCTTTGTGATTTTTACTCATTTCATCATAAATGTATTAAGATTTTTTTTCTTATTTTCTTGTTTAGTTTTTAGGTAATACAATTAGAATTCACTCAATTATTGATTTGACCAAGATTATTTACAACGATGCTAAAAATAGCAATTATGAATCAACAGAGGATATGACCCTCGGTCTCTTGAAAATTATAAACTTGACATAAATTATTTAGTAAAAGAGAGATGTACATTAAACTTTTTATTTTAGGTTAAGTAATAAAGTTTACGCGTTAACATAAATTGCAATGCAAAATGGAAACTAGATTCACTTTTAAACTTTTTGTGCATGTACAAGTAAACACCACTATGAATGTAAACCGGTGCAATACACCGGTTTACATCAAAAGCAGTATCAATGACTTAGAATAGACCAATAAGAAACGAACACATAATATATAGGGACTAATTAACTTCTTTTACAAAATGATAAATGTGTAGGTCTCTCTTCTTATTTCCTATATAAGAAGCATCAAACATTGCTTTCTTATTCCCCTAAGGTTTTAGCAAAATTTCTTCTTTCCCTTGCAAAACTTTGAAGATAATCTCCTATGAATTATGGGAGAAACCTAAACCAAAAATCACATCATCCACATATCACATCATTCACATAGTAATTTGCATCATCTTTTATAATAAACAAAAATAAAATAAAAACATTAAAAGCATGACGTTTTCGTGTCGTCGAGTATCAATCCGTATCTAAAAAAAAACCTCCATTCAAGTGATCTTTTCCCCTTTTTTTTGTGTTTCTTTCTCTAATTTTATGCCTCAAGAAACTTTAAGTAAATCAATCATAAACGTTTGAATTTTCTCATCTAAATATTTTTTTTTGATTTTGAGTTTTGTTTCCTATCATTTGCACACCTTCCTCCTCCATATTTTTTCTGTTAGATCTCTTTGATTTCTCTGAGATTTTTGGACGTAGAAAAAAAACTTCCTTCTCAGGGTAAGGTTTCGTACGTTTTGAGCCATTTTGAAAAAAATGCCTTTCCGTTCTAAAGTCCAGCCTATCAACATCAATGGTGTAGCGATGAGACAAGCGCCGAGATCACGACTGAAGCGGCTTTTTGAACGTCAGTTCTCTCTGAAGAACTTAGCCGGTGTAGATTCATCGCTTTCTAGAAGCAATCCGGAAGAATTCGAACCTAGCTCGGTCTGTTTGAGGAGGATGGTTCAGAACTATATCGAGGATCCAGACAGTGAGACACAATCACAGTGCATTGTTCGTAACCACTTCAACTGCTTCAGTGGAAGTGGCACTGATAGCTCCGACGAGGACGAAGAATCTTCTTCTTCCAGCAGAGTTCTTCGAAGCCTCAAGGTATGAATACTAACTCTGATGCTAATGTTTGAAATCTGATGTAAACAGAGTTTGTTTTCTTTTCAATGTTTTTGTAGAGTCTGTTACTTTGTGCTAACGTCTCTGAGAGTGATCTTGAGACAAAAGCCAGCGAGATTGTCAAGAGAGAGGTTGAAGATAAGTCCAGACTGAAGAATGTTGCTGATGAACTGGTGGCTTTAGGCTATGATGCAGCAATATGCAAATCTCGCTGGGAGAAATCAAAATTGAAATCGTATCGTGTTCCTGCTGGTACGTTTCTTCATTTTGATCCACTCTTAAGTTGCAAAATTGTTAAGAAAATAACAACATTTTTGTGGAAAATGGTAAACAGGGGACCATGAGTACTTGGATGTTAACATCGGAGGAGAAAGAGTGCTCATCGACATCGATTTCCAATCGAAGTTTAAGATTGCTAAACCAACCAAGACTTACGAGTCGATATCGAAGACATTGCCTAACATTTTTGTTGGACAAGTTGAGAGGTTAAAGAAAGTTGTGGTGTTTGTGTCTAAAGCTGCAAAGAAGAGCTTCAAGAAGAAAGGGCTATTTATGCCACCATGGAGGAGAGCAGAGTATTTGTTAACCAAATGGGTGTCTCAATATGATCGTGCTAAGCAAACTCAAAGAGAAACCAGTGGAGAAGCTGGTGCTGCCGAGAATTAAATAAATGATAGTAGCTTACTTATGAATAAAACTTTGGATTTTACTCCCTTTTAAGGGTATGATTTTAACGATCATGATCATATCCTCTTGGTTTTCTTAAGATTTCTTCTGATCCCTTGTAGAAGAAACCAATCTTTCTTTTGAGTCTGTTTATTTTCATCGCATTGACTAAAAAATCATTATAATCTAAATCCAGTTTCGACCAGAGACAATTCATGTTGACTTTGACCAGTAATCATCTACTTCTTTGACCCATGATAGTAAAAGTGTTTGTGAGATTGTTCTAGAAGAAACGAAAATAACGAAACAAAAGATAAATCACATATCAATCAGAGAAAGGCACGAAACAGAGTATTCTTAAAACAGAGGAAAGCGAAAGAGATAAGCCATTTATTAGACAAATTTCTTCGAACAATGTATATGGATTCTGACTAAATTGATTGGGAATTTTTGGTGTTGGTTCAAGTAGTTGTTTGTTGAGTAGGAACCTTTAACTTTAATTTGATGATGTTTTGTAATTTAGGGAGCCGAGAGAGTTTGGATTTGTTTTAAGTATCGTTAAGCTGATTCCTAGTCACTTAGATTGTCTGTCAGTTGTGTGTGGATATCACAATGCTGAAAATGCAAGCCACATATAGCTCTTCTGAACTCTAAACCATATACAAACTTTGCCTCGTTGATTTATCATGTTCAAAACGAACTGAGCTCTATGAAAGATTTGATGGCTGATCTAGATGACCCTATGGCTAAGAATAGTTCAAGCTTGTTAAAAAAGAGATTCCACGAAACTGTCAGAGCACAAAAGAACTAAGTAAATCCCTCAAGTGCCTAATTTTGTGAAGTCCAGAAAATCAACACGAAATCTCTACCCGTTCGGCTTCCATTTCTGAATGCCAAGCTTACACTCTAAGATTAGAACCCTATATCAATCATTTGATACTCACTATCTCAATCAAAATAAACACAAAGGAAGAGGCTTCGTAAACACAATCAACCAAAGAAAGCCAAAACTACTAAACTAGAAAAAGAGAAACTGAACAAAATTTCAGACAGCTAAAAATATAAAGAAACCTTTGCTGTTTATTATGAAAAAGAATTACACATGTCTTTTGTTTTCTTCCCCCCAAAACACAACAACCTACACTCAGAACATATGTAATATGGGGAAACTGATGTATATAGTGTCCTGTAATTAACGCACAAATGATGAAAGAACACGACTGCTAAAAATAAAATTGTCCAAAACTTTTTGAGTTTGTTATAAAATATAAAGGAGACTGAGTTTACCTTAGAAGCTAACAACAAAACTTCACTCATCAACTTCTGCTTTGATTTCTCTTTGGAGATCTTCTTTGTACTCTTCAAATGTGCCTGGGAAGAAATTCACTGTTCCGTCTTCTACAACGCAAATTTGACTCTTCTCTTCTTCCGCACAGACACGCGATATGAGTCTCGAGTCGTGACTCACCAACACAACTCCACCTGTGAACTCATCTAGTGCATCCGCCAACGCATCTATACTCTGCATGTCCAAGTGATTTGTAGGCTCGTCCAGAAGTAAAATGTGAGGCTTTGACATTGAGATCGAGGTGAACACAACCCTAGCCTTTTGTCCTCCGGACAATTTTGCAATTGGAGATAAGTGGTTGTGACTTGGTAGCCCAAACTTGCCTAGCTTCGCTCGCACTGCCTCTTGCTTGCTAAATCCCTCTTGGTCAGGATGAAGACGAAGAAGATACTGAACCGGTGTTTCCCCCATTGTCAACAGGTCAACAAAGTGCTGAGAATACCTGCCAATCCTCAGCTTCTGGCTTCTTCTCATTTCACCCTCTGTTGGAACTAAATCTCCCGCAAGAAGATTTAATAGAGTGGACTTTCCTGCTCCGTTAGGCCCAACTATAGCAACCCGTGTCCCCATATCGATACCTACATCAACATTCGAGAGCATGAAATCTGGCCTGTTGGGGTAGCTGAAGCTAACCTCAATTAACTGCAGAAGAGGAGGAGTGAGCTCGGTTGGTTCTGGAAAGTGGAACTCCACATTATAATCTCTCCATTTCCTTGGAGCTTCTGGTGCTGGGCCTTCTTCATCCAGTGCCTTACCCTTTGCCTTACTCTTGGATGCTTCTTTTGCAGCAGTAAACTTGGCCCTGTCCTTTACCTTCTCCTGTTGAGCCCGGTTTCCAGTCCTCTTAGCTGCTTTAATCTGTTTTTCATAGACATCATATTTTTTGTTCATCTCCTTGCGACGCTGCTCATATCCGCTTTCAAAACCATCGAAATTACCACGATAGAAGTGGAGATTCTGGTCATGGAGATGTATTATATCCGTGCAGACTGTGTTGAGGAAGTCCCGGTCATGTGAAACAACAACTAGCGTCTTCTTCCAGCGACACAAATATTCTTCTAACCATAGAACAGCTCTCAGGTCAAGATGATTAGTGGGTTCATCTAACAGTAAAAGAGTAGGCTGCACAAACAGAGCTCTAGCTAACGATATTCGCATCCTCCAGCCACCACTGAAGGACTGAGTTGGACGCACTTGCATATCTTTTGTGAAACCTAACCCCGCAAGAATTTTGGAAGCCTGTGCTTCAGCAGCATCTGACCCCAAAATTTGCAGCCTGTCATACAATTCAGCAAGCTTTTCTCCAGTATCATCATCATCCTCGCCATCAACATTTTCTCCATCAGCTCCAGAAGACGACTTCTGCAGAGCTTCAGCCTCTTCCCGTAGCTTAACCAACTCTTCATTGGCAGAAACAACTGCATTCAGAGCACTCTTTTCATCACCAACCACCTCTTGCTCAACAAGAAGAACATCAATATTCTTTGGCACTGGAATCTTCCTCCAAGCTAAAAGCTTTAACAGTGTAGACTTTCCCATTCCGTTTGGCCCGATCAACCCATACCTTTTACCATGTGAAATCTTGACAGAGGCATTCTTCAAAAGCTCTTTACCTCGAGCAGATACAGAAAAAGATTCGATGGTAATATCCTTAACATTTGCATCCGCCGAGTCGTCTCCTTCAAGCACTGAGGTCTTGCTTCCAATAACAACCGTGAATGCATCATGGTCGTCCTTCAAGGCCTCCCTCTTTGCCATCTCTGCAGCCTGGAGAGCTAATCTTTCTTTCGCCTCTCGCTTCTTTTGTTCCTTATCAGTCACAGATATCTCAAGGTGCCTTTGTTCACTCTTCAGCTTCCTCCTTGCTTCCTTCTGTCTCTCTTCCTCATCAGATTCACCTTCGTCTTCTTCGTCAGAAGGAGGAAGATCTATGCCATCAGTGTAGGATGTAGATTTTGGAGCAGCTTTGGATCTAGATGATGAGCCCTTCTTCGGTTTATCATCTTTCTGATCCATGCCTGCAAGCATGGCCGAGACTGATAATTTCTCCTTTTTAGAATCTTTTGAGGCATCTTTCCCACTTGGCTTCACCTTCGTGGTAGCAGCACTCTCGTCTGACTTCTTCTTACCCATTAGTTCAAGTTCCTTAGCCTTACTCTGCATCCACAAACCACACAGACAATCAAATTACAAAGAGTACAAAAGCGGAAGCAACAATAACAAAGATAATAATCGATTTTAAACTCAATCTGCATCAAAAAGTCCACGAAAACTATACTAATAAGAATTACCAATTAAAACTAGCAAAAATTCGAAAACTGCAATACTTTTCCATATGTATCATCATCATCAAAAAGCACATAGAAGTTCCCATAGCTCAAAAGGTAAAGAAATTACATGACCGTGAGGTTCGATATTCCAAATGCGAGCGGTTTGATCAACAGAACCCGAAGCAAGCTTTGTTCCATTAGAATTCATATTATTTACTAACTTTAATTACATATTTATCAACGAATAATCAAATTATCAAGCAAACTAATTCGAAAACTCCTAAACTCCCCAAAATTAGGGTTTTATACTTGACAATGGTCACAAAAAGCTAAAGCTCAAAACTTTATTGAAACCCAGTAAATATCTATACATATAAACAAATCTGAAGCATTCTGAAATCAATTTCAATTCTTTAACATCTAATCTCTCGTCTCTGGTCTGAAATAATTAGGGAGCCGTTTCATCAGAAGATATCAAAGAATTGCAACAACATAATAGACGAAACCTAAAATGGAATGAAACTGGCGTCTCTACCGAAGCAAAGGATTAAGTTTTTAAACAAGCAAAACTATAAGAAAATGAAAACCCAAAACTGTTAACGAGAGATATCGATCCCAATCTGATAAAAAAGACAGACGGAACTTCAATTCGGTACAAATTGAAAAACGAAAATCAAAACAAGAATTTCAAAGAGAAGAATATGGAATTCACCTAGTGTTTGGAGAGATTGCGTAGATGAACGAGAGAGATAGAGAGAAGAACAGACGGCAAAAACGATAAAAGGATTGAAGCTGCGTAGAGAGCGTAAGCAGACAGAGAGAAGAGAATCAACAAATAGTTTCCACTGTCTTATTGGGCCTATTTATGGGCTTCGTCAGCTGAAATATTTGGGCTTTATCTCTTGTTTCCAAATTGTGTAAAGAGGTAAAGGCGTAAAGCATTCAACGTATAGAAGCCCATTATTTATAGAATCCAAAAGAAAAAAAAAACGAGAGAAATGATACAACTTTTAACAATTCCACCAAAAAAACAAAAAATCACATAAACATCAAAATCAAAAGATGTGAAACTAGAAACAAAAGAAAACAAGAAATCAAGGGATTACCGGGTGTACGCAACCCACCTAAACCAAAGGTTGATAATAAATAAAAAATTTAAACTAGAATTGTCAAGGTCTCGGAAATAAGGCAACTATCGGGTATTTTCGGGATTTGTGAAAGCAACATCGGCCGGATTGTTTGTTTCTTTCCGAAACAAAACAATCTTCTTTATTTATGGAAAAATTTGTTGGCTATTTTGGTTATAAAAATTTTAAAACGGTAGATCATATCGGTTGTAGTGGCGGTTTAGTTCTTTATTATAATAATGATTACAATGTTTCAATTATTTTTGAAAGTAATCGTTTAATTGATATTGAGGCTACTTATAAAGAAAAAACAATCAATCTTACTTTTGTTTATTGAGATCCGGTACCGCCAACTAAATGTTATAAAAAAAAATATCATCATTTATCTTTCTTTTTTTTTTTTGTGACAAATGAGCGTGTTCAACTTGATTTTCAAAATTCGGTTTTGGTTCCGGTTTAACACACCAAGGAAACACTATTTGTACGTTTAACAAATCAAGTATGGGATCACGAGAGGATTTAACAAAAATTTCATATTTACGTTCAATGGTGCACTAATGGGCAACCACACGAGTCTGGACAATATGAAAAATTCTACAAGTGTCTTAATAAAGGTAATGAAGATTCACAGCAAATTTCTCCTCTTTACTCATGGGCTTGTTTCTTAAAACTAAGAAATGTGATGATGTCTATTTGCCACTAGCTTGTGACGAAGATAATCAGAGAGTTTGAGAAAGAGAATAAGGAGTTAGAGAATATTTTGCAAGAAAAAATGAAATAAGGCAAATGTTGTTGCAAAATTTCAAAAACCATTGAGACTTGAGACCATAAAAAGATCTTTCAAGCTTGCAGCCAGGACTAGGAAGTAATATTGTTACCCGGCCGGTTCGGTAAACGTCCAAGAGGCAACTTATCTGTATATCCTTTCATTTTACACCCATCAGCATATTATGATTCACCTTATAAACCCACTTACAATGAATTCTCTTTCAAACTCATGGAAGGGGGAAAAATATATTCCAATATTTGTTACTCTCGCAAGATTGTGATTTGACATCTATTTATTCATATGCCAAAGCCAAACAATGTATCGGTAATAAATATACAAATGATTGATTATTAGATTAATGTTATGATTTGTGTAGAGAATATTATGAAGAGGCTATTAAAACAAGAGAAATAAAAAATGAACATAATTATATAGGCAACTTTGTTGATCATCTATAATGAACCAAACATACAGCAAACTGTGTCTTGCTTAGATGACAAAGAATGAAACATATGTCTCTTTTTTTTCTTCTCACAAAACAGAATGGTGTCATGTAACAATGGAAACTGAGTTTTACCTTAAAAGCCAACAACAAAACTTCACTAATCAAGTTCTTCTTTGTCTTCTTCGTACTCTTCCAATGTGCATGCTTTCACTGTTCCGTCTTCTACAACCCAAATTTCCCTATTAACTTCATCCTTACAGACACGCGATACGAAACCCGAGTCGTGACTCACCAACACAACTCCTCCTGTGAACTCATCTAATGCTCTCGCCAACGCATCTATACTCTCAATGTCTAAGTGATTTGTTGGCTCGTCAAGAAGTAAAATGTGTGGCTTCGACATTGAGATCGAGGTGAACACAACCCTAGCCTTTTGGCCCCCAGACAGTTTCGAAATTGGAGTTACGTAGTTGCGACCTTTTAGCCCAAACTTGGCCAGTTTTGCACGCACCACACTTGGCTTGCTGAATTCCTCTTGGTCAGAATAAAGGCGAAGAAGATACTCAACGGGTGTTTCCTCCATTGTTAAGCCGTCAACAAAGTGCTGAGAATACCTCCCAATCCTCAGCTTCTGGCTTCTTATCACTTCACCCTCCGTTGGATCTAGTTCTCCTGCAAGAAGATTCATAAGAGTGGACTTTCCTGCTCCATTTGGCCCAACTATCGCAACCCGTGTCTCCATATCGATACATACATCAACATTTAATAGCCTGAAATCTGTCCTGTTGGGGTAACAAAAGCAAACATCAATTAGTTCCAAAAGAGAATCAGTACTGAGCTCGGTTGGTTCTGGAAAATCAAAGACCACTTCATATTCTCTCAACTTTTGTACATCTTCTGTTGCTTTGGCTCTGCCCTTTATTACCTTCTTCTGCTGAGCTCTCTTAGCTGCTTTTTCCTGTTTCTCAACCTTTTTATTCCTCTCTTTGCATTGCTGCTCATATCTACGTTTAAAATCATCGTAATTACCACGACACAAGTTGAGGTTCTGCTCATGCAGATGTATTATATCTGTGCAAACTATGTTGAGGAAATCCGGGTTATGTGAAACAACAACCAACGTCGTCTTCTTCAAGCTACACAAATACTCTTCTAAAAATTGAACAGCACTCTGGTCGAGATGGTTGGTGGGTTCATCTAACAACAAAAGGCTAGGTTCCATAAAGAGAGCTTTAGCTAATGATATTCGCATCAACCACCCACCACTGCGTTCTTCAGTTGGACTATCTAACATATCTTGTGTGAAACCTAACCCCGCAAGAATTTGGTATGCCCGTGCTTCAGCAGTATGTGACCCCAACCTCTCTAGCCTCTCATACACTTCAGCAAGCCTTTCTCCAATACCATCATCACCGTTTTCTCCATCAGCTTCTTCCAGAGATTCCTTTTCTTTCCGTACCTTAGCCAACTCTTCATTGGCAGAAACAACTGCTTCCACAGCAGTCTTTTCATTGGCCTCCGCCTCTTGCTCAACAAGAAGAATATCAATGTTCTTCGGAACTGGAATCATCCTCCATGCTAGAAGCTTTAACAGTGTAGACTTCCCGGTTCCATTCTGCCCGACCAACCCATATCGCTTACCATGTGATAGCTTGACAGATACATTCTTGAGAAGTTCTTTCCCCTTAACAGAGACAGAAAAAGAATCGATGGATATATCTTTAACATTAGCATCCGCGGTGTCTTCTCCTTCAAGCACCGAAGTCTTGGTTCCAATAACAACCGTGAATGCATCACGATCTTTCTTCAAGGCATTCGTCTTTGCAATATGTGCAGCTTCGAAAGCTAATCTTTCTCTTTTCTCTCGCTTCTTTTGTTCTCTATCAGTCACAGAGGTATCGAGTTGCTCTTTGTTCTTTTGCTTCCTCCTTGCATCCGTCTGTTCCTGTTTCTCATCAGAAACGCCTTCGTCTTCGTCTCCTTCAACAGGAGGAAGATACGAGTCATCAATGTATGATGAATCTTTTGGAGCATCTTTGGATCTGGATGATGTACTCTTCTTCTGACCCATCCCTGCAAGCATGGCTGAGACTGACAATTTCTCCTTTTTCGAATCGTTTCCACTTGGCTTCCCCTTCTCTGACTTATTCTTACCCATTTAAGTCTGTATCTGACATGAGACATCAATAAGAAAGCTCATGAGTAATCAAAATCATATAAATTTTTAAGGATTTTGTTTAGGTTAACCTAAATTGATCACAATAAAAGTTTTGATCATTAAATAATTTACTATGAGATATTGAGACAAACCTGAGAGGCTTGAAAGAAAATCTGGATTCAGATGAAGCTTTTGCTTCAAGAGTTTTGATTGTTGAGAGAGACAACGTGGAGCCTGGAAGAGATGGAAAATTGTATTCGTAAATATATCGTACTCGTAACCCTAGCCTTTTTTAAGACAACCTCGGCCCAAAATCACAGAACATAAGCCATTTTAATACTAAACCCTAAGTAAGAAGAAGAAGTTAAGAGGGTATGCCTTGGCTACACTCCCAATTCCCAACTCTCCTCCTGCCTACTTTTCGAGTCTCGTGGCTGTTGGTTCTAGTATCTATAACATTTGCGGCCTCCTCTAGCGTCTTTGTTCTAGATTGCCGGTCTCACACGTGGAGCGAGGCTCCAAGCTTGCGGGAGGAGCTAAAGTCACTTTCTGCTAGCGTCCTTAATGGGAAGATATATGTAGCAGGAAGCTGCAAAGATGGGGATTCCAATTCCTTGAAGAACTTGTTTCAGGTGTTCGATACAGAAACACAAATTTGGGATCATGTGATGTGCCCACCTCTAGCAGCGAGGAGAAACGTAGCTTTTACTCCAGAAGTGCATGTATCAACGGAAAGATCCATGTGGTGACTCGTAGAGAGAGGTTGCTTACAATTCCGAGGAAAGTAAATTCGACCTGGTTGGACCTGGAGGGATGAGTGATTTTATGTTTTCAGATTCTTATTGCGAGATAGAGAACGTTTTGTACTCTGTTTCGAAGGGAGAGTTAAAATGGTATGACACTGAGGTAAGAATGTGGAGAAATTTGGAGGGTTTGGCAGGACTACCTAAGTTCCCTCAGGGTGCTAATGTTAGATTGGCTAATTATGGTGGAAAGATAGCGGTTTTGTGGCAATGGTGGCATCTATCAAAAGGTGATCTGGTGTGCCAAGATTGTGCTTGAAAGGCGCAAAAGTGTTGAAATTTGGGGGAAAGTTGAGTGATTTGATGATGTGCTTACATTCCCTATGACATATGTTATTCAGAAGGTTTTTGCTGCTACTATTTGATGCATGCGTCACAAGGTTCTCTACCTCAGATATTCGGTATATGTTTTGAGTCATTCAATGAACACCACCAGGGTTCTTCTCCCTCAGATATTCAATATATATTTTAAGTCTTGTCATTGGGATTTAGAGTTTTTTTTGGTTCTTGTGAATGCATCATATGTATTTATGTATGATTCATTAGGCCAAACGAGGCTGGAATTCGAGATGAAATCTTACCAAGAGATGGCTGTTAAGTAGCTGAGGCAGATCTCTGAGACCAATCAACAGCTGATCTGGTTACAGAACAAGCTCACACAATACTAAAAAAGTATGGCTCTGTGGGAATTATGAGTGAGAACCTGCGTAGAACTGCAGAGCATGATCGTATCGTGAGACCGAGAACAAAGATTAAACATGAACAGAACAGAGAAGAGGTAAGTTATTTCCGCAAAATAAAAAAAAAAAAAACACAAAATTGACATTCTGTATTTCCCTAAATACCTACTGATACACTTATTAACACAGAGTTTTCAAAAAATCAATCAACAGATACAGAATTTTGAGGTTTTGCAGCAGCAAGAACGTGCTAAGGTTGTTGAGCAGCCTATATGACTATTAGTTGCCATTTTAGCAAGTAAGACGCGGATCTAAGGAAGCATTACTCTTAACTTAATGTGACCAAAACCTGTTCCGTGACAATCTGTTAGATTGAAGACTTATCAAAATCCCAATCATTTACATTTCATTGTTTAAACACAATAAGCTCTAACTATCATGACAAACATTTCTTTTTGTATTTTATGCCTCAAGTAGATGATATTATATATAGCTTCAAAGAAGAGACAGATGGTCAAACTATTATTAATAACCAAAAAGAAAGAAAATACAAAAGAAGATTCTTTCTTGGAGTGGGGTGCAAGGGTTTGGATACTCAGTTGTGATAGGTTGTTTTATGTTAACAATGATTTTTCCTCATTCCTTTATATAACAACACAAGAGTCAAGGCTTTCATATAAAAACTTGCTTGCTAAAATACATATAACAGTCAGAAGAAGCTATGGAAGCCGATGGTCAGGAAACTTCTACTTCCAAAACAATATCCATCCCTGTTGGTATAGGATGCAACTATAGTAAAACGAGTTCCGAGAAACTTTCCTGCAACGTAGTGTCGCCATGCCTTGGCCCATTTGGGCGTTCATCATTTGCAGAAGCAAAGAAGCGATTGGAAAAGCTCGAGCGAGATTATCAACACACCTACAAGAAGTACACAGAACTACAAGTAAGCATCAATACATAACAAAATAGTGAATATTTGTAGTGTTGTTAGAAACTTATAAGGCCAGTTTTATAAGATAATGAACTTTATGGACAGTCAGACAGGTATAGGTACTACATTGTTTTACAACATCCAGGACATCACAGTCGCTGGGTTGGCTACTGTATCGTTCGCAGCAAAAATGTAGTGGAGCAACTGCAGAATGTTCTTGACAAGCTGAATACAGAAGAAGCATCACAAAGAGGAAGAGAAACACCTACAAATGTATGTTATCTTTCACACCCAATCAATATCATTTTGTTTATCACCGTACACACAATTACTAGAATTAAAAAATGAATCAGCTTCCTGCCTTTATGACCAAACAATTACCATTGTTCTGTTCCCATAGATCAGTTTTTTCTAGCAACCTAGGAAACGAAATTGAAGCACTGATCATAGGTCAGTAAATCTTACCATGTATTTTTCATGTGTTCCCGGGGTGAACCATACTTGTTTAGGGCAAGCAATTCTTCTTGATGCACGGTCGTAAAAGCTTGGCACAAGAAAAGATGGTACTGCAGCAGCTGAAAGCAGAAAACAAAGAGCAATACACTGATGGCCTGTGCCAAGAAACAATTGACGTCAAAAGAATTAATGAGGAGGTACCACTACTCCTACTAAACGTCTCTTAGATAATTATCGTAAATAAGCTTTTGAATATTTACTTCTCCATCTTATGATAAAATCAGTTCAGGTGCATTCAAAGAATAGTTCCACGGACTAGCAACAAGAAATCTATACATGATCTGTTGAGGAGAGTTAAAGAGATAAAGAAGCTGACACAAAAGGCTATTTCCAATGGTGCACTAATGGGCAACCACACGAGTCTGGACAATATGAAAAATTCTACAAGTGTCTTAATAAAGGTAATGAAGATTCACAGCAAATTTCTCCTCTTTACTCATGGGCTTGTTTCTTAAAACTAAGAAATGTGATGATGTCTATTTGCCACTAGCTTGTGACGAAGATAATCAGATAGTTTGAGAAAGAGAATAAGGAGTTAGAGAATATTTTGCAAGACAGAGTACATTTTGCAAGAAAAAATGAAAAAGGATACACCGAAAAAATGAGGGTTCTATGGGAAAAATGTAAATGCATAGGTGAGAAACGTGATGCAGAAAAGAAATTTTTGCTCGATTTGAAGAAAAGTTTCAGGGAGATGCACAAAACTGCTTCACAAAGAAAAGGCTGCCGAAAAGGGTAACTTCAGAGATGTACTTTTATCAGTTCAAAGACATGCTAAGATCTATTCCACGGAATAGAAAGCAAGATGCCTATATATGTATGGATGATGTAACTGAAGAACAAACATGTTAAGCTATCATGTTGTAAATCACATTGATGATTCATTTTATGATACAATGCATTTTACAATATTTCCTTACCAGATCAATATAAGCAACCAAATCATTCTCGAATAGACTTCAACATTCTCGCCATTGGATCATTGGCTATGAACAGAGAAATTCTACTAAACAACTAACCATATATCACCAGAATAAACTTAAAAGCCTTCTGGATTGGGATGCAGAATCAGAAGCTGCTTTGGTCAAAACTATGACTTTATCTTTTTCATATAATCACTAAAATCCAATACGAAATGTTGATTTCAATCGATTAATTTCCACAAAGTTTTTCGGTTCATCTCACCATTGGATCGTTGAAACGAATTTTGAGGGTGATTTTCAAGACCAAGTCCCCAAAGAAAAACCTTTATGGTGATATATTAAACTATTTTTTTAATGTTTTCTATAACAAGTTAACCAAATATTACCAACCCAATTGATTCTAACTAACAACTAACATATTATCAAATAAACTTAAGACTATCAAATTAATCATTTCTTTGTATCTGATGCATCCATGGGTTGTCTTACAATAAGGTAGCTTATATTTGAAACCCTTTTGACCAAAAGCCATTGACTTGGGTGATGTGGCTTTTGGTCAAACTATACTTTCTCTCTTTCATATCATCACACTGAATTCAAGCATTTCTTTATATTTTATGCCTCCAGGAGGTTATTTTTCCAATGTTTTTTAATAAAGACATCATCTTAATTAAACATAATATACAAAAGAAGATATCTTCAAGGATGAGCCATTGACTTACTTGGCGTGGGGTGCACGAGTTTGGATAATCAATTGTGATAGGTTGCTTCATTCAAGCTATGACTTTTCCGTTCCTATAAGAACATAAAAGAGCAATTCCTTCAAATGATACTTAGGAGCAGCTTTGAAAATTCTTGCAATCAGTGGCATGGAAGCTTCTACTCAGCTCAACGATGTCAACAAAATATCCAACTCTATTGGTATTGTAGGCAACTATAATGAAAAGGGTTTAGGGAAACTTTACCGCGACAAGATGTCACCTGACGCTGATCCAGTTGTGCACATGTCAGTTTCCAAAGCAGAGAAGCGACTCAAAAAGCTCGAGAGGGATTATCAACACACCTACGAGAACTACATAGAAACCCGAGTAACCATTTGTATAAAATAGAACATTGAGTACTTGTACTGTTGTTAAAAGCTTATTATGCAGGGTAATGAACTTTTTGGGCAGTCAAACAGGTATAGGTTCTACATTGAAGCAAAACATTCTACGTATCGCAGTCAACAGGTTGGAAACTGTATCAAATATTACAAGAATCTGCGAGAGCAACTGCAGAATAATCTTGACAAATTGAATAAAGTAGAAGCAACACAGAGAGGAAGAGAAAGGCCTGATCACGTAAGTCCTCACAACCAATCAAGAACATTTTGTTTTTCACTGTAAAAACAAGATTATAAGGAATTAGAAAAGAGGATAATCAGCCTCTTGCCTTAAATGACCAGACGATAAGTTTCTTCTGTTCTTCCAAAAGATATAACATATGGATAAGTTTCTTTAAGAACCTAGCCTAGGATATAAAGGTGAAGGAAATCTCTTTGTAATGGAAATCATATTACATCTATTTTGCATGTACTTGGACGCACCATACCTGTTTAGTGGAAGCAAGTCTCGATGATCCGCGGTTGTAAAAGCTTGGCCCAAGAAAAGAGGATACTACAACAGATAGGAGAAAGACAACAACACCTGGAAAACAATGACCTTGGTCAAGAAACAATTCATTTCACAAAAATAAGCTGGGAGGTGCTACTACTGTTACTTTACGAGTCTTTAATTTAAATCGTAGATTGGCCTTATACTTAACCATTTTACAAATAAATCAGTTCGACTACAGTCAAAGTAAAATTCCAAAAAGTAGCAACAGCAAAGCAGTACATAATCTGCTGAGGAAATTTAAAGACACAGAGAAGTTGAAGGATAAAGCTATTGCCAATGGTGATCTTGTTAACAACCCAACAAGTCAGGACATTTTGACAATTTCTATAGAGATGGAACTAAAAGTAATCAAAATCATGGCCCTTTCCTCCTTTATAAGACTTTTGTTTAATTGTCTTGTTTCTTAAAACTTAAAACTAATCAACGAAAATGATCTTTGTATTCCAACAGCTCCTGACAAAGGTAATCAAAACGCTTGAAAAAGAAAGAGGAATAGAGACAACAAGGACTGATAATGGTCACGAGGAAAAGATGAGGCATCTAGAGAAAAAATGTGAATGGATATGCGGGAAATGGGATGAAGAAAAGAAGTATATTGTAGGGTTGAAGAACATACATGTATCCTGATCATAATGTTAGTTAACCATGCCACCATTCCTCTAGAATCTTTCCAGAGATGTGAATTCAAGTTGTGAGGTTGTAACCCTAAAGCATAAGACAGAAAATGTTCTCCAAATTCTAAGAGATTTTATACTCTGGCACAGAACAGAAAATGTTGTCCTTAAAGTTCATCCTTAGGGTTCATCCTTAGGTGTTCACAGAAGAATTAAGATAGTTATTACAACTCCAAATCTATCAAATTGGTGCAATGAGCAAGTGTCATACTAGCTTTAGGGAAAATTCAGAGAATCGGTGAAATAGGAAACAAAATCATGGTTTATTTATTAGAAGACATTCATGGTCAATAACTGCTCTGCAATCAGCTATGGAATTAGGTCCTTAAAATCTTTAACGAAAACGAAAACTACGTTACGACTTACTTACTCTTGGCCCTTGGGTGATGCTCCGATTCAGGTGGAAGTCGCAAGTGATGGTTGGGATCGATTGTGGTAGAGTACATTGTCGATTCATATAAGTGATTCATAGAGGTGATGCAGAGGAGAGGAATTCAACAGGCAGACGATCTCGTGAGGTACGGGATGAGAATAACCGAAATCCAAGCTTCCGAAAAATGCAGATGCTATGTTGCCCACCACATGTTCGACACAATGCCACTAATTAATGACTGAGAAAGCAGCATAAGAGGAAGTGGAACAGAAGTTGAAAATAAAGAAAACATTTATCTAATCTGTTAAATTCTCTGAAAGTTACTATTTCAAACACAAGTTAAAAAAAAAAACATATAATAACCCAAACTAATTTAGAAGTAAACAACTTGCATAAAAGCATTTAAACATTCTCAATCTAACTAGTCTTTCTCTATAAGCATTTGGCCATATATGTAATATAGCCGATCCAAAGTGACAACACATGAGGACGTACGTGGAGAAGCTTCAAAATCCCAGACATCCATTATCCCTATATATTCCCTAGCCTCATATGGAGTCCGTTCCAAGCAATGGTTGGCTCAGGTTTGTTGGTGCTTCCGCTGAGCTTACACGCTCTAAACAAGGTTGATGCCGGTTGTACGCCGATGCAGCATCAACACAATGTGTTTCCATCTCCCCATTCTTTTCATCTTCTTCGTCTATGTCAACTGCTGTCTACACCACAAAAACACTATGTAGATATAAAAAAAGAGTCCCCTGTTACTATCCATCATTTCCTCAGAAAAGTTGATATGTACCTGTATAGGGAAATGTTTAAATGATGGGAGGAAGCGGATCTTGCAGTACTCGTTATAAGCTATAGTGATCAATATTAGAGGCACTGTAGCAATTGCTGCAGATGGCTTTGACTTAAGTCCAAAAAGACCCACCATTGTGATTTGCATTAGTATTATTGAGACAAAGATATAATGATGAATGAATGGCCAGAATCGACCGCAAGTATCATATGTAGTCTCGTATACATCCTCCATCTGAGGAAACCAGAGTTAATAAGTAGTATGTGTGAAAACAATCACTCATCTTAAAAGAGGGTTTTAGATAATCTAGACCTGATTGAAGTAGACAATGTATCCAAGGCAGAAATAACCAACTAGGAAAGGGAGCATCAATGGCGCGACCACAGCATAAATCATACCGATCATTATCGATAAGGAAACTGTGGGGATTACTCTGAAATATGGAAATGAAAAGAGGTAAGGAGTTCTCTCTTTTCCTCTTCCATAAGTGTAGGATCTTATGATATCAAATAGTATAAGTCCCAATTGGAGAATCTCCAAAGAAAACCCAGACAACCCATCTGTCAAGATGTATGTCATAAAAAACTCTGCCTATATATAAAAAAGGAAGTGAGAAAAAAGTTACTATTTTGAAGAAAATTCGGTTTTGGAATTGAAATATATTTGAAGAGTGTATAATAGACTTTACCTGGGCTGAAACAGCGGCAGCAAGGTGACTAGGAATGTCTCTAGGATGAGTGAGATATTCGCCAATTTCATCTAGCAAGGAACCAGAGATAAGACTTAAGAAGAAAACATTTCCCATTAGAAAATAGAAGACCATGTTGCAAGCTTTTATCTCCTCATTACTCTTGAAGATAGATCCGCCGAGATAGGCAAGTCCAAGCATAGCGAAAGGAATAATGTACATGAAACCTTTGAGTATAGCACTTGGGAGGTAACCTGTCACAACTGAGCTAAGCCCTGGTCTGTTGCAAATAACAATCTTATCTTATTGTTTTTGGAATCAAGAAACAAACAATAATATGTTACTTTATGAGAAAAATATAATAGTCAAGGAGAAGAGAAACCTTACATGAATTCAATAGCCATGGCTGGAGGAAACCATTTCTTGAGCTTCTCATACTTTGCAATTCCCTGCACAGCTGTGACCGGAATAGCAAAGAAGATTGTAAGAAGTGCTGCTGCAAGGATTACTCCGATCTTGTTCAGAGGCAAAATCTTTTGTGGAATAGCAAGATTTCTCCAGGATACATCTCTTGGTTCAGGAGCCATTTCGGTTATCAGTTCTAGAGGATTTGAATGCTGCTGTGTTTGAGCTGCCAGCGCGGCATTTCTTCGGGATTTGAAGGTGACAAACGCAACAGGTAACTCCTTCATTGAAATTTACGCAAAATATAGAATTTTATATAAGAAAGAAACACATAACTTGGTTAACTCTGACCTCAGTAAAGAGTACCTTCTCTCTGAGCATAGTTTCACTTTGAAGGTGGTAAACCATATGGGTAATTTCTTGAAGTTTTTCTTCAGATGTGGATATGTGCTTATGTTCTTGTGATCCATTCGAAAGTATGTCTATGTGTCTCTTGTATTCTATCTCTTTTTTAAGCTTCTTCTGTTTTCCCTGTACACAAAGGATCCACCATCACATTTTCAAGAAAAAACCGCTAAAATTTTAAACCATTCTAGTGTAAATATGATACCACCACAAACTTTCAAACCTTACCAAAAGGTATTCAAGATCTCTCCCGTCATACAACATCTGATGTGAATGATAACTAAAGCGATGATGCTTAGAGAAGAAGTGATCAACGGTGCAGCCACGAGTGTTATGCTCAGGGCAGAGAGGAACTTGGCGGACTAGAACAGTGAACTGGTCAGCACGATGTCTAAGTTCTTTCATTTGCTGAAGCCTTATCACAAGAATCTCCTTATATTCCTAGATGGAGAGGATCCAGTAAATATATAAACCTATTCTATAAAAAAAAAAAATCCGTCACTGATAGACAAGAGTAAAAGCTTACCTTATGCAACAAAAACAATGCATAGAATGAAATGAACCACAAGCATGAGAAATGCACCCACAACCTAGGAAAATTATCACAGATATCAAGAAACACAACTCCAATTAAGAGAGATTATGCAAATTAAGACATAGCAAAACAAAAATGCTTACTTGTTAGAACCTCGTGTGATATTTGATATTGTGAACGCATCCATTGAATACTCTTTTCGTGTTGGTAAATCTGACTCATTGTAGTAATCAACCGGAAGAAGCAGTGAAGCTCCAAGTAACGAGCACAACAAGAAGAATCTAATTCTGTAACATATTTTAAAGAATCTGATAATCGTGTTAATCAGATGATAAATAGTAAAACCAAATCCTCACCCGAATTTGAAGAGCCTGATGAGGACGAGGGCATCAAGGCCGTGGCGGCTGAGGATCTCGTCCTCGGGGACACGGAAGGCGCGTGGGATCCACGCAACGGAAGGGAGGAATCGAGGGAGGCAAAGGGAAGAGTGTAGAGACAGAGGACGGTGGTGGTGGCGATCGGAGAGGCGGCGAGCGTAGTAGACTACGGCGTTGCGGGGCTGCTTCTTAAGCACAGAGAAGAGCCAGAGTGCAACGACGGCGAGACCTATGTTGATCGACGCCGACGCTAACAAGCTTTCCGGCGTCATCTTTTTTCTTTCCTCTGACTAGGTGAAACAGAGTTACATGATGTCATGTCATGTGGCCCTCCTTGTGCTGCATGTAAACACAAGGCCTCCACGCCGCATTTGTCTCCTTTTTTATTACACATCGACCAAAATAGCAGTGTGATCATTGAATTTTTGCATCTCCCTAAAAAGGAAATTTCTAGTACTATAAAATTCGTTTTACAACAAAATGTTATTTTTTTTTATTAGAATCACAAAAGTGTTTAGTGAAAGGTGGATTTTGTGAATTTGTGGATTTTGATGAACGAAAGGAATTTGTTTAGTGGCTTAAATTGGTAGATTTAAAAGACAAAATCATCACTCTTTTTATGTTAATGATTTTTTTATTTTTTTTCGTCTGTAACATATTTTGTTCTTATAGGTTTTTAGAAACCTATTCTCTAGCGTCTTTTAATAATTTGTATAAAAAAAAAGTAGCACATGTCTAATTTTCAATATGTAATGCTAATTTGCTTTTGTTTCAGACTCACTCTATCACAATACTTGTACCGTACCCTCGTAGTTGTAGCTAGCAACAATGTTTACTGCTTAATGTTATTGTGTCTAACTTAACTCGTGATCAATCTTGAAACAAGAGTAACCCCTACCAACAATCCGCTTTGATATCGAATACAAAGTAGATAAACAAGCGCATAAATGATGAGATACAAATTGAGGAAGAAGATTACGTGGCCAAGAGTTTTAGTTATTTTAATTATTGTAGTTAGTGGCAATGTGTTTACTTACCCACGTTTCACGTGCCTTAGTTGTTACTTTATTTTCTTGTGTATTTAAGCATGTTTATTGCACAATCTAAGGGAGGAGAAAAATTATAGTAACTTGTTCTAAAGTCTTTGAGAACCAAAGTGTTCTTGTCTTTGTTCTTGATCAACATTGATTGTCCTATATCTGGGACCTATCAATAAACAATCGAGGCACAAAGCCTATTAACAAGGTCTGAAGTTTTTCAACCTATATAGTCTTCAAGGACCAAAATGATTTCATTATAATTGAAAAATAAACACACTTATTAAAAAAAAATGTATATCAATTGCAACCATTTGTATATCCACAGTTTCGTTATATAGATGCACTGTTCAGGATAAAGCATTAGTTCTTTTTCAACAAATTGATACAAGTAAATACTTTTAAAAAGGTGGGTATCTATGAAAGCTAAATTAGTTCAACAAAAAAAAGATAAAAATTATGGTCTCTATGAACACAAACCCCTTTTGTAATTGTGAACTAGGCCTGGGCATTCGGATTTCAAATCGGATTCGGATCGGATATATTCGGATTCGGATAATTCGGGTATGAGAGTTTATTATCCGTTCGAATTTTATGATTTTTCGGTTCGGTTTCGGTTCGGATATATTCGGATTCGGATAATTTGGGTAGGAGAATTTATTATCCGTTCGGATTTTATGAGTCATCGGTTCGGTTTCGGTTCGGATAGGTGTCGGATTCGGATCGGTTTTCGGGAAAAAAAAACTTAAAAATAGTTCAATCTTAATAAAAATTGGTTTAATCTTACTAAAATTTGGTTAAATTTTGCAAAAATATGTATAATTTTAACAAATATAACTAAAATTTTTCCCAAATCTAGGATATTTTTGTTATTTGCTATAAAATTACAACTAAATATAACTAATATTTTTGGATATATAATTTTTATTTCCGGTTTTCGGATATCCTTTCGGTTTTCGGTTCGGATCGGATTCGGTTCGGGTAATTCGGATAGGAGAATTCATTATCCATTCGGATTTTGTGACTATTCGGTTTGGGTCAAGTTCCGGATTTTTCGGATCGGTTTCGGATCGGTTTTCGGATTTCGGGTTTTATGCCCAGGCCTATTGTGAACTTACTGTTGAACACTGGTTCCACTCTTTTAAAAACACATTTTACCCAAATGAAGGCTCTGATTGGTGACAAAAAAAAGAACAATAGGAACAGGGAAAAAAAGGAATGAAAAGAATAAAAAGGAAAGGAAAATGATCAAAACCAGGAACCAAAAAGAACATAAGAATTGAACAAATGATTATGGTAAATGGTAACAAAAAATTGAACAAATATTTAACATAATAATTATTAAAAATTATGTATTTTATTTAGTTTATATATTTTATTTAAAATTAATGTTTTATTTTAATTTGAAACAAAATATAGTATAATTCAAATATTTTATTTTAAAATAATATAATTTTCACTTGAAAGCATTTATTTATTTATTTTAGTATAAATACTAATTTAAAACAAAGCCATAAGATTCATTTAAATTAAATTTTTGATAAAAGTTTTTTTATACATAAATATATAATAAAAATATAGGAATTATTTATGTATAAATATGTAAATATTATCAAAAAAGCTATTTTAAAATTATTTAAAAATTAAAAACGAATTTTAAATTTTTGTTCTTTGTTGTTCCTCTACAATTTTGGGGAGGAATAATTTTGTTCTATCATTTTTTTTTTTTGAGGAATGAAGAGGAAAAATGTAGGACCCAGATGTCTGAAAATAGAACAAAAATTCCTTATAAATGGTAAAAAAAATGAGGAACAAAAAGAACATGACATTCCTACTTATTCTTTTTCTCAAAATTGGTTACCAATTGGAGCCGAAGAAAATAAAAGCAGAAAAAATGTGTCTCTTATTTCCTCGAACACTAATCAGATAAACACATAAAAATATAAAAATAAAAATAGCAAAAAAAGACCACAGCCAAAGAAAGTCAAAATGTGCTGTCATGGAATCAAGTCGTGTTACTCTCAGCCACATGTTTAGATACGGCCTTCTCGTCTGACGTGGCAGTTCGCTCCTCTCAGCCACATGTTTAGATACGGCCTTCTCGTCTGACGTGGCAGTTCGCTCCTCTCAGCCACTCGTTTGGCACGTGACATTTCTCTTAGTCCACCAAAAAAACTCTTTTTTTTTTTTTTCTTTTTCTTTTTTCCACTGTAACTCCCTTTCGCTTCCCATATCCTTAGAGCATGAAGGATTCTGCTGAATCAAGGTTTTTCAAAGCTTGTTGCTTTTCAGTTTAATATTCTTTTATTTGTTACGTTTATTATTGTTTGTGGCTTTACGTTATCCGATTTGTTGATCTTGTTGTTGTTTTTGTTTTCCGTTGTGGAGCTGGCGATGTGTGGAGCAATTCGGGAGCGTGATATAGGTTCTTTGTTTCGATTTTGTGTCTCAAGTCATGTTTGATTGGGAAGAAGAAGAGGTAAGTCTCTTCTGTTGCTATCTTGTTTGGAATCTGTATAATTCTGTATCCTTGTGAATAGAGATAACGATCGGTTGTCCTGCAATTATGAGTTTTTTTTGCTTCTTCTCTAGACTCTAGTGTCTTGTTCGATTCACAGAGTCGACCCTAGTGCTTACATGTTTATATTTTCCTTCGGTTTTAGTCGCAAGTAGATGTTGATTGTGCCTGAATCTTATTGTTTATGGTCTTAACCTATTTTTCAGCTTACTAATATGATATGGGGTGATGACGGTGAGACAGGCGACCATATTGTGCCTTTTAAACAACTTAACAAGAAGGAACAGAGTGAAGAAACTAAGACAGCTAAACCGGCTGAGCAAAAGATAACTGGGACTAAAACTGACCTCCATGATGATAAATTGGGGAGCACTTCGGGCCATAATGTTGATGACGGGACTCCTCAGCCAGATTTCTGTATGAGCTCATGGTCTGACTCCACAAAAGATGATCCAGATTTGAGTGCGACTCAACTTTCAAAATGCTTAGCTGAGCCTGCCAGATATGATTCAACAAGAGGTAGTGCGTTTCTTGAAACAGTCATGTTTTACTTGGGTACGTTCTTTCCAATCTAATCATTTTAAAGTTGTGTGCTCACTCTGTTTTTACCAGAGAAAACGTCTGAACTTGGGAAAGGCCCTGATATTTTTCATAGCTCTGATGAGAGTAAAGAGCAAGGTGATTTTGATGACTACAGCTGGGCCAACATTGGTAGTTTTGATGATCTTGATCGAATGTTCAGGTAAAACTACTTCTCATCATCACTTAGCTACGCGGTAACTTTTCAATGACATACTCCTTTTGTGCCATATATAATGCTGACTTGAATTCTTCTCGACAAACGTACACAATCTTTAAGAACTATAAGATACCTGATGTGAATGTGGTGGAAAATCCTTGTGATGAGAACTGTCAAGATATCATGTTTTGAAGGAATTAGGTGAAATAATGAAAAAATATGTGCAGTTGCTTCATTTGTAGAACACTAACTTGTAGCACCGCTAATTTTTTCCCGTATTTTTGATATTTTTCCCTTCAAGTGAGGTACATTTCAACATCAAAGGACATCACTAACCTCAGGATTACTACTAATGGTTATTTCATGCACATCGGCCTCTATCTAACACAGTATCCTCACAAGTGATGATTTTGCAGCAATGATGTCCCTATATTTGGCGATGGCAGTCTCAGCGGTGGTGATGAGTTATGGTCTTCTTCTAAAGATGTATCCAATAGTCCAAAATCATTATCATCAATGTTGGACTCTCAAGATCTAGGATTGGATATTAGAACTGAGTTTGAGCAACAAGAGAACCAGCAATTTCCATTGACTGGAAAAGCCAATGGTCCGTCATCCCAAAGTGTGCCTAGTGTACGTGTAACTCTAAAGGCTAACCAATATCGTGACCATAAGGGTCAACCCTCAGTTGAGGACCAGGTACTACACGTAGCAGACTGCTGCGTATTGCTCACACGTTTATGATAAAGTGAATGAAAGTATGTACATAGTTTCTGTCAATCCGGATGGTAGCATGAACGTAACTATGTCTTCAAATTTTTATGCATCCTAATTTTTACAGCTCCACTGAACCTTTTTCGTTTCATTTCCTTTTTCTGACCAGCCATATCGACAAAATAAAATGATAAAGTTTTCGAAAACGCCTGGGACTTCTGAGGCATGGGCATTTCAAGATCTGTACGGTCAGAGGATTCCATCTAGTAATTCACCTGGAATGTTGGTAAATCAGTTGACACCGTCACGATCTTCGCTGATGGCTGTTAATCTGCAGAGTGAGTCTGAAGGATCTGGGACATCACACTATTCACATATGCCAAACCAATACATGGCTACTTCGGCTTTTAGTAATCTTGCAAATCCATATTCTAGTGTGCCTGTAATTTCGGCCGTCCAACATCCTGATGTTAAGAATCAGTTGATGCATCCTTCCTACAATCCTGCTACTGCTACCTCCGTAAACATGGCAACAGATGCCTCTGCACGGCCTTCAACAATGACACCACAGGAAAAACTAGAAAAACTTAGACGCAGACAGCAAATGCAGGCAATGCTTGCCATTCAAAGACAACAGAAGCAATTTTCTCATCAGGTGCCTGTAGCAGATCAATCCATTACTCAAAACTGTCTCCAAGATATTCCACTCCAGCTTGTCGACAAAACTAATCTCCAAGGGCTAACTGCAATGCCTTCCTTTGATCCTAGTTCATCTTTGGAACAAGATGATTCTGGCAAATTTGCTGCTGCTGTTGATAATTCAGCAGAAATCTCAGTTCTTTATCGGCTTCAGGATGTTGTAGCAAAGGTACCCAAATGGTTGATTGACTTGTTATGTTAAAAAAGGACGCAGACATAATCCTACGGTACTTTGTAGGTGAACTTTGTGTTGGGAGTAACTAATATCCTTTATTGACCTGCAGTTGGATATGGGAACACGGACTTGTATAAGGGATAGCTTATTCCGGCTGGCTGGTAGCGCAGCTCAGAGACATTACACTAGTGATACAGCCCACAGTAACAAGACTAGCCAGGATGAACAGGAAGTTATTCCCAGAGAAGAATCCAGATATAGGTAAGCAAATTTATGCATATTATTCAATATGGTTAACTTTGTACTTAGACAATGTACACTACAAGCATACTTTTTCGTAAATGTGGGTTAACCTTTTATAAATGCTACCGAGTTCATCATCAATATCAAATTGTGGTTTACATAACTAGTTTTTGTATTTGATACTACAGATATGCTGGGATGCCAGATACAGAAGCAGTGACCAACCCCACAGACAGAACTGTGGCTCATTTGCTCTTTCATAGGCCTTTTGATATGTTGGCGGCAAAGCGTATGGTAGGACCAGAATCACCCGCTTCTTCGAAGATGGGAACTGAAGAAAAAGGGAATTTTCCTAAATGCATCATACGAGAGACTCACTTAAATAAGCAGAAAGCTCAAAAGGAAGAAGGACCTGCAGATTTACTTGCTTTGGGGAATGCACCCAACTCTGGATCCAGTAGTACTGTTGGTGAGAGGGTTGTTGAAGCATCCCAAGGAAACAAAAGAAAGTTGTGAAAATTAGAAGGTTATTAATTCCTTTCTATACTCTATTGCTTCCATGCCCTTTTATATACGTTCATAGAGCTTGTCTACAGATTTGTTTGTAACTAATAGGCAGGTGTTGCTTTTGTTGTCGATCAGTTTAGGTTGCCGTGTTAGAGAGGAGCTTTGGGAATTTCAGCAGACTAGACAACATCTCTCTGCGTCCCTTGAAACAATCTCCTCATTGCTCCTTTCTTGTAATTAGATTTTTTTTTGTTACTTTTCAAAAACCTCTTTTGTTACACGTACCTCCATGACAACTACATTTTGGAAAACTCGTGTAGTTTGCAATGTTTTTTTCCTCATTCAAAACCAGATTCAATCTCTTAATACAATTGTAAGCACACACCAAGGTCACATAAAGTACTGTTTTGAGGAGAAGAAATGGGAAACAGAAGGAGTGTCTTAATTAGTCATAGAGTAGCTGCAACGAATTTGCCTTTCTTCAGAGTTCAGATGATGCATCGGTATGTCACAAAATCCCCAATAGGCTCTTTACTGTATGTAATCTTCACCACCTGTTTTTTCTTTAACCCATAGTATCTGACGAAGCTGTCCTCCTGCAAATAAGGAAGCTGAAATGGAAAAGAAACATCCATTAAAACATAGCATACACAAACAGGCAAAGAAGCTTTGTGCAGAATTGAAACAGACCTGTTTGTCCTCAAGGGCATGCTTCCTCAGCAATTGTTCTTTCTCCTCTTTGTTTAAAATCTCAATCTTTGGCTGCTGAATATGCTTTGCGATGTTGACCAACAAATCTCCAATCTGTTGGCACATTCAATAAGTATAAACATGTAACTGTTCAGTTAAGTATGTATTTTCTTTCCAATTCAGGTCTCAATTTCATGATCCTCATTAGAATATCTCATGCAAGACGATCCAAATCCGGAGCTATAGTGTTTCATCAAGTAGGAAAACAGATAGATGCTTACCGGGATAGTTTCAACTGTAAAAGGGAAGGTTGTCAATTCCTTGTGGGCAAAGTGGTTCATTTTGCTCTGTAATATCAGAATCATAGCATTCACGCCTACATTGTTGGAAATCTGACTATGAATAGCACGAACTGATTTCACGGTGATTGGTTCAGTTCCCATGAACACAACAAGGATCTGCATAAAACCATTTCAATAAGCTTAGTGAAAAACAGGTAAAAGCATGAGAATATGTCTGGTAACATTCTCATCTCAACTAGCTGTTCAAACATAACATTTTAATGACACCCTAAACCCTAAAATGCTCCAATCCTTTCCCTTTATAAAGTTAAAGCAACATGCCATTCGATACAACACAAGAGCACCATGTGAGGAACCTTACTGCTACAACAAATTTTCTTGGTCCCCAAGAAAAAATGGGTATGCCATTAGTTCTTCAACTTTTTCAAAACATTTACCAAAAGCTCTAAATTCAACAGAACAAGACCAAACGCAAACCACACATCAATGGAAAGAAAAAAGATCTCTGATAAAGTAAACCCCTATAATTCTCACTAGTCTTACCCTGAAAATGCCCAAGAATCAAAAGGTTGAAATTTTTTTGTTATCTTAAGGCAAATCCAGACCAAGGTTAAACCTTAAATCAAAAAAGTTTATGCATTTCTCAGATTTTCCTCTGTTTTAACGCAAACCCAAGCTGTAAGCTCAAAATCGAGAAAAGTTAACGCCTTTTGCACATTTTCCTCTCTTTGAAGGCGTTAAACCAAAATGCAAACCCAAAATCGAAAAAAGTTGATGCCTTTTTCACATTTTCATCTGTTTCAAATCAAAAATAACAATCAAATCGAAAATAGAGGTGGAACAAAGAAAAGCTGAAACCTTTTTCTTGGGATCTGAGCGGAGAGGAACGCAGATACGGAGGCGTTCAAGGTCTGGCTTCTCACCAAAAACAGAACGAAACTCAGAAAGAGTGAGAGAGAGCTCAGCTTCATTAACTTCGTAGCCTCTGTCGCGAAGCATCTCAAAAGCTGTCGTGCGAGCCAAGTAAAACCTCTTGCTGTCGATTCCTCCGGTGTCCTCAGTCTTCGAAATACAGTGGCTACCATTTTTAAACGTCGACTCACCATTTTCACAGCACCCTTCTTCGGCCATTTTCACCTCCGATGTCAATTTCAGAGTTTTGCAGTTGGAAGATAGAAAGGTTTTATGAATTTGTCTTGTCACAACGCAAGAGAGAGTGTTGTTGTGCTTGGGCCTTCTCGGATCCTTAGTTACTTTGGCCTCATTAAAAATACATCTGGACTGTCCACTGCATTAATCAACCAACGGTTACGATTCCTCTGTTTTTTTCAATAAGATAACTCCAAAAAAATGGGAAAAATGTCGTTAAAATCCCCAACTTATTCAAAACGTTGATTTAAATCCTCAACTCATGACGAAACGAAATAAATATCAAACTTATGTTGACTTTCCAAATAAATATCAAACTTATGTTGACTTTCCAAATAAATACCAAACTTTCGTTGACCTACCCATATTAGGCACGACGTTAAGTGGGTCTGATAGATCTCGTTAACGGAGGTAATGGGCTGTTAACATATGTGTTAATTGATAACGACATTGTATCATATAACAACAAAGTGACGTCGTTTTGTTGTAACGATTGAATTAAATCCCTAAAGTCAATCTTAGATCCCCAAATCGAGCAAAATCCCTAACCCTAAATAGAGTATGATTTAAAACTCGGGATTTTATTGAACAGTTATGACAAAACAACGTCGTTTTGTGTTTAGAAGGAATACTTGTTAGTATTTTGATCAACACTAACAGGTGTTAACATTGTTTGTTAACTCACTTAACGTCATGCCTAATATGGCCAAGTCAATGAAAGTTTGGTGTTTATTTGGAAAGTCAACATAAGTTTAATATTTATTTGGAAAGTCAACATAAGTTTGATATTTATTTCGTTTCGTCGTGAGTTGAGGATTTAAATCAATGTTTTGAATAAGTTGGGGATTTTAATGACATTTTTCCCCCAAAAAAATCATAACCAAATGTCATAAAGACATGTTTTTGTTGGACCGGACATAACCAGTGTCGAGATGACGTCGTCAATAATGGATAATTGAGTCGGCTGTTATTAACGACGGCGACGAGTTAGGGTTCATACTTCCTAAAGCGGCCATGGAGATTCAAGAGATCTCAAAGCTCAACAACGAGAAACATCCCGAGAGAATTGTCGAATCGAGGATGAAGAAGAGAATGAAACCTCATTCTCTCACGTCTATTAACAATCTCGACGATGGTTGCCTCATGCATATCCTCAGCTTCCTATCTCCAATTCCAGGTAAATTTGGTTTCTTTTTCGCATCTTTTTCTTGGGTTTTCTCATACTTTTATACTTGTTTGTTCAATTCTGCTTTTCATCGGTAATTCAATTAGAAATTGACCAATGTTCCACATCTCAATTACGATTCTGTGTCTCAAATTTACTACTTTTAGACTTTTCAGATCACAGTCAAATCATAATTGAATTCAATCCTAATCTCGATGATGAATTATCACTTCCTATGACTTGGTGTGATACAGCTATGTAGTAATGTAACAGTATCAGCAAGAAAGCTTTTGTCTTTGTAATGAATTGCTATGTTTTGATCTGTATTGTGTTGTGTGAAGCTTCGAAAATTTCATATTTTGTTTGCATGATTGACTTGGGCGTATTACAGTCTATTTCAGTGCTTTTTGTGTATCTCTTCTGAGTTTGCAGATAGGTATAACACAGCACTCGTTTGCCACAGATGGCGATATCTGGCGTGTCACCCTCGCTTGTGGCTCCGTGTTGACCGTTTTGTTAAGGATTTATCTCAGCCTGGAGTTTTCCACAACATTGAGTCAGCTGTATCTGCAGCAAGGTTTGTGATATTATCAATTGCGCTTTACACTTCTTTGTTATGCGTACAAGGGTTCACAAACCTGACCAAATTGTCACCTCTAGACCCGGCGATACCATTTTAATAGGAGCCGGTGGGAATCATCGCGCTTCTAATATTCAGATTAAAAAGCCTCTTTGCCTGGTATGTCTTTCAAAGAATATATGTCTCGTGTAATTGCTTGATATTTCTGGAAGAATCGTTTTTAACTTTCTCTAGAAATGGCAATGTAAATTGGTCTACTTTCACATGTTTCTTTAGTCTTCCCAAAAAAATTTAGACTTCAGAAATCGCAAAAAGTGAAACATAATTTATTGGACTTAATCTAAACCATTTATACCAACATCTGTGTAGTAAATTTATGGTAACATATCTATTCTCATGAGAGGATGGTAACATATGGTAACATATCTATTCTCATTGAAGAGATCCAAAGAGATCAATGCCACATTTTAGGTACCAAAATAAAAATGATAGACATCTTAAGCTTGCACACAATTACTTCCAATGTCACAACTGGAAACTAAGCACGAGCTGTTTGTGACATGGGCGTTTTAACGAATGTTAAAGAACTAGAACTTGATGACTAAAATTCTTTGACTGTGGTGAGAACTCAAAAAAGAATTCAGTTCGACTTCAAAGTCTTATATGCACTTGCCACCTGCCTCTCAGTAATGGTCCTCTTCTCATACTGGGCAACACATGGAAAGATGGTAAGCTGTAATGAAAGCTATTGAATAGAGATTGGTGTAGGAATAAGGATGAAAAGATGGAGTTGCAGAAATATGAATGATAGTGATCTAATCATGAATATATCGATGGACACCCTAGAATACCTCAGTGTGGATTAGGGGTTGGCTTATCAGTGTCCTTAGTTTCGGTTAAGTGGAAGACTCTATGCCTTGAGGTTTAAAGGAGTTCCTAATCTTATTATCTCATAAATGGGTGGTATTATGTTGATACATAAGTCCCAATGTTCAATAGTAGTTTCAGTTTTATATTATCTTTGCTTTGTTCAGGTCGGTGGGGGAGAGATTCCTGATGAAACCACCCTCGTCTGTGCTCGTGGTTCAGACAGGTTTGGAGCTCATATTCCCTTTTAAGTCATTTCCTCTCTGCAGTTGTTTTAAAAAATCTCTCTGGGAGTAATAACTTCTTAAAAGCTGCGGCTTAACGCTTTTCCTGTTGAGGTTTAAGAAAAAGAAAGATGTGACTTCCTGTTCTATGTCGTTGTTTTTTATTGCAAAGAAAATACTTTGGTATACGGCTTTTTGTTGTTGGGTTTGTTGTGCAGTGCCCTGGAATTGCTATCGACCTGCAAGCTTGCGAATTTAACAGTGAAAGCAGAGCTCGGGTGCTGTTTGCTTCATAGGAGTGGAAGGGTAACGATTGATGGATGTGTGCTTCAATGTGAGACAAACCCTTTGGATCATCTCTCATGCCCAATCGTGAGCACTGCTGGAGATGAAGACATTGAAGATATCTTGAGCCATGTGGAAGTGAAAGAAACTGTTGCTGAAAAGATTAGAGCAAACAGTGTAACAGTTTTGCAGACAAGGATCGAGGGAGGTGCAAAGGCTGTTTCGACAAGTGGAGACTTGGTTCTGCAGCGTGTTCGAGTCATGTATTCCAAGGCTTACCTCTATTTCTGGTTTGATGTAGATTATCAGTGATCTTTGCTGATTTTTTTATTTTTTTTTTATATTTTTCTTCAATCTGTAACATTAGTAATCTGTGGGATGGGAAATGATCCATCTTCATTTGTACTTTGTGTTTCCCCTTAAGACCGGACAGGTCCTTTGTTGTATGCTTATTATGTTCAGAATAATGTCCTTTTTAGGGCGAATTCAGTTTCAATTGGTTTCAGTTATGTTGCATGTACTATCTTTTATGCAGTAAAGTAGTTTTTTTATTTTTCTTAGTACTATTTTTCTCACAGAGGATTTTTGGTTTGATGGATTACTATTATCAAATGACAAAAACATAATAACTTTATATTATAGTTAATATACTAAAAGATTTTTTTGTTAATTTACAAAATAAAACATAAAATTATTGAAAAATAAATGTATTAGTGGAATCGACGATCTCGAATTTTAATTAAAAAGATTCAGTTTGCATCTTTCATTCTTTTTTTTTTGGTGATCAGTTTGCATCTTTCATTCTGATACTGTTAAGAAATTGAATGAAAAGATTATCCAAATATGACAAAATTAAGGTAAATAAATTTGTAAAGATGATAAGTATGAGAAATTTACGTTTTTATGTGCTTAATGATTTTTTTTTCCCACAACGTTCTTAATGATTTATCAGTTTATTATAAAAAGAAAAAAAAAAACATTGAAACCCAAAAATAAAACAAAACCTAAAGTATATAAAAGCCCACACTCTCCAGTGTGCAGTCGTTTCCAAGTCCCCTCTCATCGCATCCGATACCAAAACCAAAAGCAGCAGAACAAAAATGTCAGCCATGGAAGCACTGATTCTCCAGCTCCATGAAATCGGCGCCGTGAAATTCGGCAACTTCAAGCTCAAATCCGGAATCTTTTCTCCGGTTTACATCGACCTCCGTCTCATCGTCTCTTATCCATCCCTCTTAACACAGATCTCACAAACTCTCATCTCTTCTCTTCCACCTTCCACAACCTTCGACGTCATCTGTGGTGTCCCTTACACTGCCCTCCCTATCGCCACCGTCGTCTCTGTTTCCAATGGTATCCCTATGCTTATGCGTCGCAAGGAGATTAAAGACTATGGAACATCCAAAGCTATTGAAGGAATCTTCGAAAAGGATCAAACTTGTTTGATAATCGAAGATCTTGTAACCAGTGGTGCCTCTGTTCTTGAGACTGCTGCGCCTCTTCGTGCTGTGGGGTTAAAGGTTAGTGACGCGGTGGTTTTGATCGATAGGCAACAAGGTGGTAGGGAGAATCTGGCGGAGAATGGGATTAAGTTACATTCGATGATTATGTTAACGGATATGGTTAGGGTTTTGAAGGAAAAGGGGAAAATTGAAGAGGAGGTTGAAGTCAATTTGCTTAAGTTTTTGGAAGAGAATCGTAGGGTTAGTGTTCCAAGTGTGGAGAAACCAAAGCCTAAGCCTAGGGTTTTGGGGTTCAAGGAAAGGTCTGAGCTTTCCAAGAATCCCACGGGGAAGAAGCTGTTTGATATTATGTTGAAGAAAGAAACCAATCTTTGCTTAGCTGCTGATGTTGGAACTGCTGCTGAATTGCTTGACATTGCCGATAAGGTTAGAATCATTGATATTTTCGGTTCTTGGTATCGAAATTTGAAGAGTTGTCAGTTGAATTATGTTTTAGTGACATCTTCCAAATGTTTTGTGTTCATGCAGGTGGGACCAG